AGGTGCACTCTGCTTATGGAATCCACCCGACTGCCTGGGAAGGCGCACGGGGCTGTGAGTGTGTCATACACAGATGCAAAGTTAAAGAATGAGAGGGAAGAGAGCAAGATATCTCACACAGTAATTTTCAAACATACTAAAAATTAAATAAATGGAGTCTCTCTTCAAAGTCTGAAAAGCAAGTCCCAAAACAAGACCCTGCCCCACGGAGCTGTGGGTGGGGCCCTGGTCATTTCCCTCCTTGCGGCCCGAGAGGCTGCCCACGCAGCTCAAACACCACTGATTCTAACACCCTTACGCTCAGTACTTCAGGCCAAGTATATATAAAACAACTGTACATTTTAAAATAAATTCTCCTGCTGTTACATGCGTGGGTTTTTTCATATGCCATACCTTTTTCCTTAACTTTTTGATTGCTATTTCATTGTCTGGGGCTTGTTTCAGAATTGCTTTAATAGTTCCCTTCCAGTTGAATTTACCTGCAACATGAAGAATAACATGTAAGACATCTTGTCTTATTGTACAACCAGAACAGTAAAAAAAGGTCTTTGATGATTAAGAATAGTGAGCATTTTTTCATGTTTGTTAGCCATTCATCTGCCTTCTTCAGACAAGGTTCTGTTCATGTCTCTTATTCCTGATAAATGGAATCATTTGCTCCTTTTTTGATTTGAGTTCTCTGTAGATTCTAGTTATCAACCCTTTGTCAGATTCATAAGATACAAATACCTTTCCCATTCTGAAAGTCTGTTTGTTTTAAGTATTGTGTCTTTAGCTGTGTAGAAGGTTTCAGCTGAATTAAGTCCCATTTAACCCCAGTAAGGATAGCCCACATATCACAAAGCCCCAAAGCTACAGATGCTGGTACAGATGCGGAGAGAAGGGAACACTTTTACACCACTGGTGGGACTGCAAACTAATACAGCCTCTTTGGAAAGAAGTGAAGAATCCTCAAAGAGCTTAAGATAGACCTTCCATTTGACCCTGTAAACCCACTACTAGGTATCTACCCAGAAGAAAAAAAAACGTTTTATCATAAGGACATTTGCACTAGATTATTTATGGCAGCTCAATTTATAGTCGCCACGATGTAGAAACAGCCTAAATGCCCATCAACCCATGAATGAATTAATACTGTGGTATATATACACCATGGAATACTATTTAGCCATGAAAATAGATGGAAACTTTACATCTTTCTTTTCTTTTTTTTTTTAGAGACAGAGCCTCAAGCTATCCCCCTGGGTAGAGTGCCATGGCATCATGCTCACAGCAACCTCCAACTCCTGGGCTCAAGCGAGTCTCCTGCCTCCGCCTCCCAAGTAGCTGGAACTACAGGTGCCTGCTACAGCGCCCAGCCATTTTTTGGTTGCAGCCATCATTGTTGTTTGGCGGGCCCAGGCTGGGGATTCGAACCCACCACCTTAGGTGTATGTGGCTGGCGCCTTAGCCGCTTAAGCCACAGGCGCCAAGCGGAAACTTTACATCTTTCATATTAACATGGATAGAGTTGGAGAACATTTCTGTTAGTAAAATATTGCAAGAATGGAAAAGCAAGTATCCAATGTACTTAACACTAATATGAAGCCAGTAGATGAACTAATACACACCCAGACAAGAGAAAAACTCAATTTAATTCAAGTTATGGGGGGGAGGAGAAGTGAGGGGAAGAGACAGGGAGAGGGGAAAAGGGAGGGGAAGGGTACTGGTGTGCTCCCGCCTATGAGGCACAATCTAAGGTACATGGCACACCTCCTGGGAGGGTCCCTGTAACTGGGACTTCACGTAACAAATGCAAACACTGTACCCTAATCACCAGCACCTTCATGCTAATCTAAAATAAGGAAAAAAAAAAAGAAAGAAAGAAAGAAAGAAAAAAACAATTTCTGCAATTATCTATTTGCTTCCTGGGAAATGAAGTAACCCTCTAATGAACAGGGCACCACAGCACCAGGGAGCCATCCCTTCGTCTGTCCCATTACGGCGGTCCAGAAGCACTCATTTCTCTTCAAAGCGCTCATTCTCAGAGTGAGCAGGTTAAGTATCAGAATGAGTATCACCAAAACTGCAAACTCTACAGAAAGACAGAGCTGTGTTCAAGGAACTCAGTAAAGACACACTAAACATCTGCCAAGACTGGCGCTAACACAGTAACGAAGACAAATGCCAGCAGAAGGAACTTGACCATGAAGGAAAGGGAGAATAGCCACAAGCAATTACACAAGGAACTACAAACGGTTCCCTACTACATCTGCTCCCGGGAGTTAAACATGCTTTCCCCTCGCTTAGTACAACTAAGAATCCCGACATCATATATGCAACAAATATAAGACAACTCTGAAAGGGCAGAGACTAGCCAGGAGCTTGGGGCCTGCAGAGTGATAGGAGATGACCTTTTTGCCTTCTGGACCAGATTTGGAGCTAAAAAATCTAGCGACCTGGCACACCAACAGGTACAGACAAAAATGCCTCAACAGAAGCTTCCTCTCCCAGCAACAGACAGGAAAGGGGCAGCCTAGCAAAACAGAAAGCTTTTGTACAACCACCACTCTACTCCAGCTGGGTGACTGTGTCTCCACCTCCACCCACGGCAGCAGGAGGTAGGCAGGAAATCTGAGCTTTCATCCACAATGCTGGGGTGTCCCTCGAGTCCGCATGGGGAGTCCTGGTCAGCAGGACAAGGAGTATCTGTCCTCCGGAGTCTATCGAGGCTGAGTGGAGGGCCGATCTTCTCCCTTACCCAGCAGTGACAAAGTGACATCCCTTTCCATACTCCCGAAGTCATGTGAGAAAAAGCCAGCTAAGGCAGAAAGTTTAAGATCTGACACCTTACATAAAAATGTATTCAAAATGCATCGTGGACTTAAATGTAAAATAAAAAACTAAAAATCCTTTAGCGTCTACTTGGCATCTGCTAAGAAGGTGTAAGTAAGTGCTCTCACCACATACACAATGTGTGTGACAGACGTGTTTATCAGCCTGATTATGGACACTATCTTACAGCCCCTTTTTGCACTTCTTAGGCTCCTGATTCTTTGAATGTTCTTGGTGGTTTTCTTTTTTTTTTTTGAGACGGAGCCTCAAGCTGTCCCCTGGGTAGAGTGCCATGGCATCACACTCACAGCAACCTCCAACTCCT